TGTAAACAAAAAATGACTAATATATAGGGTTCCCTACTATCCACGATAGGTCTTGGAAAGTATCCCCGCAGATATGGGGGGTCCTACAATGTATAGAATATTTTCATGCACATACCTTTAACACTTGATATACATCATATCTGTTGCACTCCTCTGGTCCTCTAAGCTTACATACCTAATTCCACAAACTGAACAGTTTTTCATCAATGATTGTACATTTATACCAAAAATGTTGTAATATTTACACTTATAGTTAAAAACCTAGGTAATAAATTACCTCTGAATTATACAAGAATGCAATATGTCACAAAGCCTTAATGAGAATGAGTGCAGGATACATTTGTCTTACTAACATCAAAAATCACACACCAGCTGACCATCCCTCAGTAAGCAATTCACTAGCAACACCAACTAAATCTCTGTAATATTATTAGTTAAGTTTTGAATCATTTATCATAAAAAAATAATTTTCCTAAAAAATAATGAAAATGAAAAAATGAAAATAAATAATGAGGGGTATCAAATGATTTAGGTAAAGAAAAATTGGATATCACATTGGAGGGAGGGAGTATGGAAGAAGTGAATGCATTCAGATATTTGGGAGTTGACTTGTCAATAGATGGGTTTATGAAGGACAAGGTAAACCATAGAAATGATGAAGGAAAAAAGGTGAGTGGTGCACTGAGATATCTGTAGAAACAAAAAAAAACATTATCCATGGAGGCAAAGAAAAGAATGTATGAGAGTATAGTGGTACCAACACAGTTATGTAGGTGTGAAGCATGGGTTGTATATGCTGCAACAAGGAGGAGGCTGGAGATGTCGTGTCTAGGTGCAATGTGTGGTGTAAATTTTATGCAGAGAATTCGTAGTGTGGAAAATAGGAGGAGGTGTGGAGTTACTAAAAGTATTAGTCAGAGGGCTGAAGAGGGGCTGTTGAGGTGGTTTGGTCATTCAGAGAGGATGGAGCAAAATAGGATGACTTGGAGGATGTATTAATCTGTATTGGAGGGGAGGAGAGATAGAGGTCATCCTAGGAAAGGATGGAGGGAGGGATGGGGTAAAAGAGGTTTTGTGTGCAAGGGGCTTGGACATACAGCAGGCATTTGTGAGCGTGTTAGGTAGGAGTGAAAGGAGACAAATGGTTTTTGGAAACTGATGATTTTGTTGGAGTGTAAGCAGTGCAATATTTTGTGAATGGATTCAGGGAAACTGGTTAGCGAGATTTGAATCCTGAAGGTGGGAAGTACAATGCCTGTAATTTAACCCTTTCAGGGTCCGTCCCGTAGATCTACGGCTTTACGTTCAGGGTTCAAACCGTAGATCTACGTCATGAGCTCAGCTCACTCTGATAAACTGTGAGTGGTAAATTTGGGCCTAGATATGAGAGAATACATCTATGTGGTATGTGTGCACCACATAAAACAAATCCTGCAGCACACTGTGTATAATGAGAGAAAAAAACTGAGACCGTGATTTTTGACTAAAACAGCGAATTTGCAGTGTTTTTTCATGTTTTTTATAGTTGTATTTGTGATTTCTTGGTCTCATTTGATAGAATGGAAGACATATTACAGAAATAGAGATAATTTTGATTGGTTTTAGCACTGGAAATGGCTTGAAACTGAGCTCAAAGTGGCGGAAATGTTAAATTTTTCCCGATGTTCAAGAGTAAACAAACGACCTCACACGTCTAATGCACGCCAGCTGGTGGGTCTAATATACATTCACAAATGTGGTGATGATATTTATACAATTATTACAATATTGCATAACAGTAAATCTTCTATTTTTTGGTGTGAATAAAAATTCATTATGTGAATAAAAAATCAATATGGAATTTATTTGTAAAGCTTCAAAACATAACTAATGAACAGAGGAAATGTTAGTTTAGTTCCAGGAATACCTACATTGTTTATTCTGGACCCTATTTTGAAATTGGAACATTTTGAACTTTGTGTTAAATTGGCCAAATTACCAATTTCCAGTCGCTTTATTTTGTAGTTGAAACAGTTGACTTGGCGATTTCTTGTGCTCAATCGATAGAATAGAAGTAATACTAGTGAAATAGCTAAGAATTTGGTCGACTGGAATAATGTAATTGGCCTAAAATGGGAGTCAAAGTCGGCAAAATCGCCGATTCGTAAATATCGTTGACACATCAAAATTCACGAGAGCATAATTTCGTCAATTTTCCATCAAATTTCGTACTTTTTGTTTTATTACCTTCACAAAAAGATTCTCTACCATTTCATAAGAAAAAATAAAAATTTTTTTTTTTAAATTTCTTGGACACTGGGGCACCACTTCAGATTTTGGCCTTGGACCCTGAAGGGGTTAAAGGAGGGGTTTGGAATATTGGCTATTTGGAGTGACATCTAAACTGTCATATCTGAGTGCCTGGGATCTGATGGGATCATGAAAGAAGTGTTAACAGAAAGGGGGGGGCGGGATACAGTTTTGGAGTGTTTGTTACTTTTGTTCAATAAATGTGTGAAAGAGGGAAAGGTACCTAGGGATTGGCAGTGTGTGTATAGTTCCTTTATATAAAGGAAAGAGAGACAAAAGAGACTTGTAAAAATTACAGAGAAATAAGTTTACTGAGTATACCAGGTAGATGTAAGACAGAGAGCAGGATTGCAGATGAACAGGGAGGTTTTAGAAGGGGTAGGGAATGTGTAGACCAAGTGATTACACTGAAGCATGTAAGTTCTATAACAATGACATAAAAAATACTTATTTATTTATTTTTTAAACACATCAGCTGTTTCCCACCGAGGCAGGATGACCCAAAAACAAAGAAAAACCCAAAAAGAAACAAAAGCTTTCATCATTCAACACTTAAGATGTCCCTCCAAACTGCTAATATCCCAAACTCCTCCTTTAAAGTGCAGGCATTGTACTTCCCATTTCCAGGACTCAAGTCCGGCTAACCAGATTGCCTGAATCCCTTCACAAAATGTTACCCTGCTCACACTCCAACAGCTTGTCAGGTCCCAAAAACCATTTGTCTCCATTCACTCCTATCTAACATGCTCACGCACGCTTGCTGGAAGTCCAAGCCCCTCGCCCACAAAACCTCCTTTGCCCCCTCCCTCCAACCTTTTCGAGAACAACCCCTACCCCGTCTTCCTTTCCTTACAGATTCATATGCTCTCCAAGTCATTCTACTTTGTTCCATTCTCTCTAAATAGTCAAACCACCTCACCAACCCCGTTTCAGCCCTCTGACTAATACTCGTAGTAACTCCACACCTCCTCCTAATTTCCACACTATGAATTCTCTGCATAATATTTACACCCCACATTGCCCTTAGACACAACTCTTCCCTGTCCCCCAGCCTCCTCGTTGCAGCATTTACAATCCATGCTTCACACCCATATAAGAGTGTTGGTGCCACTAATGTTTTTTGTCTCTACAGATACCTCAATGAGGTAAAAGAGGAAAAGGGTGAGTGGTGCACTTAGGAGTCTGTGGAGACAAAGAACTTTGTCCTTGGAGGCAAAGAGGGGAATGTATGAGAGTATAGTTTTACCAACGCTCTTATATGGGTGTGAAGCATGGGTGATGAATGTTGCAGCGAGGAGAAGGCTGGAGGCAGTGGAGATGTCATGTCTGAGGGCAATGTGTGGTGTGAATATAATGCAGAGAATTCATAGTTTGGAAGTTAGGAGGAGGTGCGGGATTACCAAAACTGTTGTCCAGAGGGCTTTAGGAAGGGTTGTTGAGGTGTTCGGACATGTAGAAAAGAATGGAGTGAAACAGAGTGACTTCAAGGGTGTATCAGTCTGTAGTGGAAGGAAGGCGGGGTAGGGTCGGCCTAGGAAAGGTTGGAGGGAGGGGGTAAAGGAGGTTTTGTGTGCGAGGGGCTTGGACTTCCAGCAGGCATGCGTGAGCATGTTTGATAGGAGTGAATGGAGACAAATGGTTTTTAATACTTGACGTGCTGTTGGAGTGTGAGCAAAGTAACATTTATGAAGGGGTTCAGGGAAACCGGCAGGCCGGACTTGAGTCCTGGAGATGGGAAGTACAGTGCCTGCACTCTGAAGGAGGGGTGTTAATGTTGCAGTTTAAAAACTGTAGTGTAAAGCACCCTTCTGGCAAGGCAGTGATGGAGTGAATGATGGTGAAAGTTTTTCTTTTTCGGGCCACCCTGCCTTGGTGGGAATCGGCCAGTGTGATAATAAAATAAAAAAATAGATACCTCAATGCCTTCATCAATTCTATGGTTAACCTCATCCTTCATAAACCCATCCACTCACAAGTCATCTCCCAAATATCTGAAAACATTCACTTCTTCCATACTCCCTCCCTCTAATATGATATCCAATTTTTCTTTATTTAAATAGTTTGATACCCTCATCACCTTACTTTTACCTATATTCACTTTCAACTTTCTACCTTCACACACCCTCCCGAACACACCCACTAACCCTTGCAACTTTTCTTTAGAATTTCCCAAAAGTACAGTATCATCAGCAAAAAGTAACTGTGTCAACTCCCATTTTGTATTTGATTCCCCATAATTTAATCCTACCCCTCTCCCCAATACCCTAGCATTTACCTCTTTTACAACCCCATCTATAAATATGTTAAACAACCATAGTGACATTACACACCCCTCTCTAAGACCCACTTTTACTGGGAACTGATCTTCCTCTCTCCTACACACCCTAACCTAAGCCTCACTATCCTTATATAAACTCTTTACAGCATTTAGTAACTTACTATCTATTCCATACACTCGCAACATCTGCCACATTGCTCCCCTATCCATTCATCATAAAATATTTATTTATAAAATATAGAAATATTTATATATAAATAAAATTCAGAGTAAAAAGTGCTTAAACCTATACATTTTAGGAATTCATGCATGTTTTAAAATGGCTCTTTTTCCTCATTCTATGCCAAATTAAATAACAATCATTCACTACATTGAGATCTGAGAGGGAGGTAATAACACCATAATGCCTATGCACTATGTATAAATTAAATGCATATTTTATAAAAAATTAACATTAATTTTTTATGAGTCCATCTGAGCCAGATCAAGATAACTATTATAATAATTATTACCTTCCTTATATTGTAAAAGTCTCGATGAGGAACAGCCTTCTGAGCAGCAAGTTCTCTCATTTCATTAAGAAGAACATGGAGTTGAAACTTCGAGGAAAGGTACTGTAGACGACGATAACAAAATGACTTCACCGGACCATTGGCAATGAGAGCACAGAGTAAGTTCATATCTTGAATATAGCGAGACAAATCTGGATAGTTGTAAGGTAGAGGTTCATTCCGCTGTACGGCCTCATCATTAGGATATATCTGTTGAAAAGAGGTCAAACAGTTAAATGTAATCTAGAACAACAGTATGTACATATTAGTTACTGTCAATCATTACTTTCTACTTCAAAACTACTGTTAAAAAGCACCTCTTTATCTTAAAGTGATCCTGACAACAATTTATTATACTGAACAAATCCTGAAATCGGTGGGATATGGCCGGTTTGTTGAAAGAAAGAAATCCTGAAAAAATGTTTTTCATCTAATATTGCCCCTGTTCTTGTTTCATTCTTCCTTCAATTCTCATTTATTACTAGAAAGGCATATTTTCCTTGTATCAATTCAGGTACCTAGCTTCATCCTTAATGTAATTAATTAGGATTTTTTATTAAATTACTGAATACCTTCAATATAGTATAAACTAAGTATTCTTATTCTTATGTACTATAAAGAACAAAAAGGCACAATACCATGACTGGAACAATACACAAATAACCTGCACATAGGAGAGAGGAGCTTATGACAACATTTCAGTCCAACTTAAACCATTTACAAAGTCACATTAGCAGAAAAGAGTGAGGCAGCCAATTTACATAAGCGAGTGGGAAAAGGAATGGGAATGAGAGATGGAGAAGAGGAAGTAGTGGTAGGTAAGTAGCAGTAGTAGAAGAAACAGTGTTAGTAGAAAGTAGGGAGGGTAGGTTAGAGGCAAAAGAGAGGAAAAAAGGAGGAGTGAAGGGATGCAAAAGTAAAGGTATCAGCAATAATGCTTATGTACTATGTGTGTCTCATTGTCTGGTAATTGTAAGTTAGTTTAACCCTTAAACTATCCAAACGTAGATCTACATTTGCGCGCGTACGCTCCGCCCTTGATTTTCTCCATAAAAAAAAAAAAAATGTAAAAAAAAAAAAAAAAAAAAAAAAAAAAAAACAAGGTAGATCTATGTTTGGAGCGCTACGCAAGCAAACTTAGATCTATGTTTGGACAGTTTAAGGGTTAAGGCTGCCTAAAATGCTTTGCATAACAAGGGGTTTTCTATAAAGTAGTTTATACATGTTAACCCTTTGAGGGTCGACAGGCCCTCTCCGAAACTCATTCTCAGGGTCGGCCAAATTTAAAAAAAAAAAAAAAATTATTTTTTCTTATGAAAAAGAGTTTTTTTTTTTTTCTAAACATTATAGGCTAAACAAAAAATTTTTACCGTCAATACTTACCGAGATATGGAGGCGTGAAGTTTGCCAAAATTGAACAACATCTGGTAACATCGCCAACTGCCGTCACCCGGTATTTTTCTATTTACTTTTTTATGTACTATTTTCAATTATTTTTCAATTTTTCTTTTTCTGAGTAACTTTTATGGCCTCTGAGGCCAACATGATCAGTATTTTGCAAGTTATTTCCTTTTCAATACTGCACAATAAGGGCGTAAATACTGTTGTCATTATTTTGTTTATAGAAAATATTTACACAAACAAACGATATGAAATGTTGTTTATTACTATTTTTCTATATTTTATATACACATATACAGTCACAGGGAATGTTTCTAGAAGTTCTGCAGCCTGTGGAACTCTTTGAAACATGGTGTCATGCACAGTGGTGTTTTACACTCCTCACACATAAAACAAGTGTCTCTGCGTTGTTGTGGGCGTTTTTTTGTATGTGCACAGACGTAACACCTCTTCTGAGCCTTTTCTTGAAAGCAGTAGCAGGCAGTTTTACCAGGAAGTGATCACCATGCTTCAGACGAGCAGGTAGTTGTTGATAATTTGGTGGGCGGTCAATTGCAGGTGCTGTTCCTTGGTACTTGAATACTATTTGTCTGATGACAGACAAACAGAATTCGCCATACTGTGGTTTGTTTCTGGTCCTCATCTTATACATATTATAAGCATTGAGCATGGAAATGTCCAGAAGATGGAAAAACAGTTTGATGTACCACTTATAACTCTTGCGAACACAATCAGCAAACCCAATCTGCATGTCACATTTGTCCACTGAACGCATGTTGAAGGTGTAATCAATCACAGCTGCAGGTTTTAGAATGGGTTCATTGCTCTCTCTATGCTGCCTGCCACTGTCTGCCATTTCATTAGGGTGAACTGATGACGACAGTGTGACATCTCGTTTGTCATACCACCGAAATGCCATGATGTCATTGGCAGCAAACGCCTGCACCTCACCTCTGCGAGTGCCAGCGTCAAACCTGGGCATATGTTTCCGATTTGCACGCACTGTGCCACACACATCTGTCATGTTCACTCACAAAAAAATCACTGAGTGAGGGGCTTGTGCACCAGTTATCTGTATATAATATATGCCCCTTACCAAGGTATGGTTCTATCATTGTTCTAACCACATCACCTGAGATGCCCAATAACTTCCTGGTATTTTGCAATGTATAACTTCCAGTGTACACAATAATATCCAATACCAGACCACTGTAACAATCACAAAGCACAAACAACTTTATACTAAAGCGTTTCCTCTTGCTTGGTATGTACTGCTTGAAAGAGAGTCTTCCTTTGAACAGAATCAAAGACTCGTCAATTACAAGCTTCCTGAAGGGATAAAAATGCGTACTGAATTTCTCTTTCAGATACACAAACACATTCCTAATCTTATATAACCTGTCAGTTCTGTCAGGCCTGGTTTTGTCTGAGAAGTGAAGCATACGTAACATTAGCACAAATCGATTCACTGGCATTATATCACTGAAACCTGGGGTTGCAATCAGGCGGTCTGTTGACCAGTATGATTTCACTTTGTGCTTATACACATGTGGCATAAGCCTTATTGTGGCAAAGAAAAGATACATCTCAGCCACAGTTGCCTCCTTCCACTGGTGTAGATGTGATTTTGGTGAAAGTAATGTGTTTGCCATGGTGTACTCATAGTATGTGTTGCTTTCCATGACAATACTTTCCATCAATGGTTCGTCAAAGAATAACTAGAAACATTCCAGTTCAGTGGCATTGTTCCCAAGTGCACAAGATGGCCGTATTCCACTTTGGCTGTCATCAAACTGCTGGGCATTTGGAACAAAATTGACAGCTTCCTGCCAATCCCAGGTGTGGTCTGCTGGTGGGTACTGGACAATGACAGGTGGTTGTGGTTGTGGAGGTTGTGGTTGTCGAGGCTGGTGTGGTGGGTGGGTGGGGGATGGTGGCCTTTGTTGTAGATCAGCTGAGGCAGCGGCGTGGGTGGCAGCGTGGGTGGCAGCGTGGGTGGCAGCATGGTCCACTGCTGGTGCCTCACCGCCGGCACCACTACCACCACGCACATTTTCCATCCCAACTGCAACAGTATCATCGTCATTTTCACTCTCTGTTCCTGTTGTACAGCCACGGGATGTACTCCGAGATGCACTCCTTCCCCTTGGAATAGCATATGGCACACTACCAGAGCGCATATATCGTTGTATATACTGACGCTTCACTGGGGAATATTGCACTTCACTATCACTACTGGAACTAGTTTGAAGAGCTTGTAGTTCATATTCACTATCACTATCATCACCCATGCTCTCATCTGAGTCTGGGATTTGGGAAAATAGAAGTTTCCTCTTGGATTCTGGTACAACTGAACGTGAACAAGACGGCCCAGCACCAGAGGTGGAAGGCTGAGGGTCGTCTGGGTTTTCCTCACTATTACCGATATTATGGTCATTAGTTTCGGTCAAAACCTCACCAAAACCTTGAAACTCATCTTCACTGGCACTTCCATCTGTACTAGAACTGTCACTGGGGAACAAAAGTGTCCCAATTTGCCGAGGCAAATTGGGACATGGTGGATATTGTTTACTAAGATGGCATTCCCACAATGCACCACTGGGTCCCAGATTTTTTTTCTACCATGCACACCGACCACACAGACCCGTTCTCTCACATGTAGGCCTACCAGCCATATCCCGCGAGATTTGATGGTGCTAGAATTTGTGCGTACTAGTACGTCAAAAAACCCTGAGCGTAAGACGTACTAGTACGTCTGAAACCCTCAAAGGGTTAATTACCCTAAGTGTATACTGTACAGTATAAAGTTTTTTTGTTTCTTTTGTTTAATTTCACTGACTTTATGATGGGATGATGGGATGGGAAGTACAGTGCCTGCACTCAAATCCAAATTCCTAAATTTTTTCACATTCAGAGTGATTAAGATCTACATTATTTAGTTTATAAGTGCCATGGTTATTTTCAACCCTTTAATTATCAAAATGTAGGTCTATGTTTTCACTGCAAGAGCTCCAAATATTTTGATTTTTTTTAAACAAAGAGGGCAATTTTCTGTGTGTAATAAGACAAAAAAAAAAAAAAAAAAAAAAAAAAAAATTTAGCATCAGTACTTATCGAGATATAAGGTGGCAAAGTTGGCACTAGATGCTCATCTGATGGCAATGTGGAGTCCTGCTGTTTGCAGAAATGTTGTCGATATACAAAGACAAAGGCAAGACAAAGACAAAATTTATTTCTTTGCAAAGGTTACAGTGTATAATTACATTTTGTAACATGTTGTTAGGTACAAAGAAAGCCACTAACATGCTGGGGCATTTCGGGCAGATTAATCCTAATGCTTACAGACTACTGAAGCCTAGACAAGTAGAGTGGTAAATTTTAATTATACATTATTTTCCTTACTACAACAGTGAAGTAGCTAATATTTTATGGTAATAAAATCTATAGTTGTGATGTAGCATATAAAAAAGTATTACAATTTAGCACAATATACAATAGTACAGGAAAATAAAATAGGCAGGAAAAATAAAACATTGATCTACGTTTGGAGTGCTAGCGGTAACAAAGTAGATCTACAATTTGACAGTTTAAGGGTTAAAGGGTTAATTTCCAAGGCTTAGAACTTTGCATCTGTTTACATTAAACTGCATCTGTCACTTCTCCGACCACTGCACTGGTCTATTCAGATCTTCCTGTAGCACTCGAGTCTTCTCATCAGAGTTAATCTGACGGCCTATTTTGGTGTCATCTTCAAACATGCTGATGTCACTACAGTGGTCCCTCGTTTTCTGTAATTAATCCGTTCCTGG